TGGGGTGGTCCCAGAGACCACGGGGGGAGAAGGGGGACACACCCAGGTGAACTGACACTCAACCCCAGTACAAACCAGTAGGAACGCACCTGCAGGTGCAAGCCCTGCACCCACTGCCCCACGGCCCGGTACGCGCCGGTGCCGTTGCCCCCCTGGAACTGGAAGATGTCGTAGCGTCCCGGGGCGTCCCCGTTCTCGTTGAAGGACACTGGTGTTCCTGCGCTGCCTGGAAACCAGTACAGACCAGTACAGACCAGTATAAACCAGGGGAAAAAAAAACAAACAAACAAGAAAAAACCCCCACAAAAAACCCAGTAAACCCCATAAGCAGCCACCGCAGAGCACAAGTGACCACCCCACTGGCAAACCAGTATGGCTCAGTGTGGCCTGCAGGGCATTCCAGTACAAGCCAGTAAGGTGCCAGCTCCCCTTCCAGTACTCCCAGGGTCCCAAGTCCCCTCCCAAAACCTCTTGCTCCCCCTATATCCCCCTCTAGGCCCATTCCAGAGCCTCCCAATACACCCCAGTAAGTCCCACTATTATATCCAGAGCCTCCCACTCCCCTCCCAGAACCCTGTACCCCCTCCCAGTGCCTCCCAGTATACCCCAGCGCCCCCGGTACCGTTGAAGGCAACCCGACGGATGTGCTGGAGAAGGGGGCGGCCGTCGGGGGGGTCCATGGTGGGGCAGAGCCCCCCGCCCGGGCAGGCCTCCCCCAGGAGGTTGTGCAGCCCGTGGGCCATGGCCAGCACCGCGTCGATCACAAACTGCACCTTCCCCTCCTGCTCGTAGGGCGAGTCCCGGCCGATCCGCTCCCGCCCTGACCCCCAAGTGTGGGTCAGGGACCCACGGCTGCCCCACGGCTTGTGGGGGGTGGTGTTGGAAGGGACAGGGAGGGACTGGAGCCCATACTGGGCTTTACTGGGAGGGGGACAGTTACCTGTGCACTTGCGGGGCGCGGGGCCGGGCCCGCCGGGGGTCTCGCCGTGGGTCTCGCCGTGGGGCAGGCGGCAGTTGAAATCCTCCTCCCAGAACTCGTGGAACCAGAGGTTGCGGCGGTTGTTCTCCAGGGAGCGGGAGGTGAAGTACTCGTCAAAGCCTGGGGGTGCCCCACACATCCATGGGGCGCCCCACACATCCATGCGGTGCCCCACACATCCATGGGGTGCCCCATGCACACATGGGGTGCCCCACACATCCATGCAGTGCCCTATAGATCCATGCGGTGCCCCATAGATCCATGGGGTGCCCCACACATCCATGCGGTGCCCCATACACACATGGGGTGCCCCACACATCCATGCAGTGCCCCATAGATCTATGGGGCGCCCCACACATCCATGTAGTGCCCCACACATCCATGGGGCTGCCCCATAGAGCCCCGGGGCTGCTCCAAGGTGCCGAAACCCTCCCCCCCAGGGTGGCTGAGCCCTCCCCGGGGGGCTGGGGGGCTGCCCCATAGATCCGCAGGGCTGCCCCATAGATCCGCAGGGCTGCCCCCCGGATCCGTGGGTCACTCACCGGGCACGGAGGCGCGGTTGGGGAGGATGGTGATGGCGCCCAGAGCCACCTCCTCCAGCCCGGCCACCGGTGCCATCTTGGCCCCCCAGCTGTCCGAGCCCACCCAGGAGAAGTGGCCCGAGAGGTTGGCCAGGGTCGCTGCCTCCAGCACACGCCTGCGGGTGGAACTGGGCTTACTGGGAGAGGAGTGGGGGGGACTGGGGGGTAAGTGTGTGGCTCTAGGACAGCCGGGAGGAGGCTGGAATAGACTGGGAGGGGACTAGGATATACTGGGAGGGCACTGGGGGAGTTACTGGTGCTTCCTGCTCTATACTGGTTTATACTGGGGGGCTACTGGTCCATACTGGGGGTCACTGGTCACTTATCTCACGTCACTCAGGTTGGCAAAGCTACTCTGGGCAGTGCTGGGGGCACTGGGGGGGGTTCCTGGGTCAGTTCCTGGTCTATAATGGTCTATATTGGTCTATACTGGTTTGTACGAGTCCAAACTGGGGGGTTACTCCTCACTCATCTCATCCACCATGATCCATTCCTCAGATCCTCAGTGCTCCCAGTCTATCCCAGTGCCTCTCCCGGTGCTCCCAGTACAGCCCAGTGCCTCTCCCAGTACTCCCAGTCTATCCCAGTCCTTCCCAGTGCTCCCAGTACAGGCCAGTGCCCCTCCCAGCACAAACCAGTACCTTACTGGTCTCAGGTGAGGGGGGTCTTACTAACTCTTCTATTGGGGTTTCTGTCCAAAATGATGGTTCCCTCCTTCCCAGTGCTCCCAGTACAGCCCAGTGCCTCTCCCAGTACTGCCAGTCTATCCCAGTGCCTCTCCCGGTGCTCCCAGTCTATCCCAGTGGCTCTCCCAGTACTCCCAGTCTATCCCAGTGGCTCTCCCAGTACTCCCAGCCTATCCCAGTGCTCCCAGCCCT